AATTGTTTACATACACAGCAACAAAAATACATTCCATGACAATTAATCTTTGGTCACTTTGTGCACTATCGATTATAATCACAATCTGTACATGTTTTTGAAGAGTATCTATCATAGAAACATTTAAGATACATTACGAATTTGCACATTTTATGAATGCAACTTCTTTGCATAAGCATGGTTTATTGATTATTAATATCGAAAAAAACATTTTTAACATTAATATTTAATAAACTATTGCGCATTGGACCGTTGCTGTATATTATATATTAGTGAATGGAGTGTACTGTAGCTAAAAATTTAGCAAAATTCAAGAGGTCAAGGTTTTGTCCCTTTGTGAGATACAAACAAATTTTTAAGTCCTTTTTTTTAATATGACATATGGGAGGCCGCTGAGTTCTTTGCGGATTTCAGTGAAGTTGTTGCCACCGAAGTACAGAGCTCGCAGTTTGACAAGACCAGTGAAAGTGCCATTATCCACTGTCTGGATCTTATTGTAGGACAGATAAATGTATTTCAGATTGGAGAGCCCGGCAAAAGTGCCGACTGCAATGTGAGACAGTTTGTTTTTCTTCAGGTTCAGTTGTATCAGCTGAGATAGATCCCTGAACGTATCCGGCTCGAGAGCGCTGATCTCGTTCCGCTGAAGATCGATTAGCTGCAGACCGACCAAGTCGCGAAGGAGCGACCTGGAGACGCTTGTTATCCGATTGTCATTTAAGTAAAGTTCCTGCAGCTTGTTCAATCCTCGAAAAATACAGCTCGGCAAGTCCTCTAGCCGATTGTCGGCCAAGTTGAGGCTATTCAATTCGGTTAACCCGGCGAAGGAATTCGGCGCAACGCGAGAGATTTTATTCCTGGAGAGCCAAAGGCTCAGCAGTCCGGGATTAAGACTCGAAAAGGATTCCGCCTCGATCGCTTCGATATCGTTGTCAAACAGGGAGAGACTTTTCAAGCTTGACAGCCCGGCGAACGTGTCCATCGGTATCGAATTGATCTTGTTGGAATCCAAATTCAGCGACGTCAGATTTCTCAAATCCGCGAACAAGTACCCCCATAACGGTACCACATTGCGGTACAAGGAGAGCATCTCCAAGTTGGGCAAACCGCGGAAAGATTCCCTCTTCAGCACGAATATCCAGTTGCTACTCAGATCCAAGGATGTCGCCGACACGTTCTTGAAGGCATTCTCTTGAATCGTCCAGAGACCCAGGTTCATGAGGTTCAGTTTGTCCAGTTCGTAATCGAAACGACTTTGCGGCGTCACTTCGATGAGTACCCCCTCGTAGTGGCGAACGTTGTAACCGAAATGTTGTAACGTTGTAACGTTGCCGTTGTCCTGGCAGGTCGGCTTCTTCATCTCCGACGAGGCCCGCGCCGAGAGAAACAGGATAACGACTTGCGAAAAGAACAGAAGAAACCGCGACATGGCGAGAGAGTTCGAATCAGTCGACGCGCCTAACCGAGTGACACGGAGGCTGAGTTTCCACTGAGCGCGTCACGCGTCGCGTTATCAGAATTAACCAATCAAAATATCTCATTTTGTAACATTCTTTGTAATGTAATAAAATTGTAAATTGGACGTTTTGATTGGATAATGCGACGCGTAACGCGCTCATTGAAAACCCGGATGCAACTGCAATTACGAGTTTTATATCTCGTGGAGAGTTAGCGATTACATAGTGCAGCGTGACTTTTGGCA